CCTCACATACTAAGAAAACATTCACTGAGCTTCTCCTATGTGCTTGACATTAATAATCAGGGTTATAGACTCAAGAAACTCACTATCCAGTAGGGGCATGCCTCCTTATAAGGGAATCAGAAAGGTTGAACTTTGCTATCTTTAAGAAACTGAGAAACCAGTGAAGGATTTTCAGTAGTAGAGAAATATGGTAAATTTCATAGACTGGCTAACCCACTATCCATTCCCCTTTCTCTGTTGTCTACATTTACTGAAGAAACTAGGAAAGGTAAAGGTTCACATTCCAAGCCTCTCTTGCAGTGAGAGATGGTCATGTTAACAAAATTCTGGTCAGTAAAATATAAATCTACTTGCAAAGGCTTCTGGCAAAGCTTCTGATTTCCTGATGACTATCCAGGGTTTGCTCCATCCCTTGCCTTCTTGACTTAACTCCGGTTATACCTAAAACTTGCCAGATATCCTGTAACCCAAAGGGCAAGACCAAAAGTGTCCCAGATAACACAGCAATGATGCCATTGGAATACGTAAGCAAAGCCTGCAGCCATCTCCAGATTTCTTATTCAAAATTATAAATCTATTTAAGTGATTTAAATTGGGCTTTCTGTTATCCGAGTCTAAATGTCTAACTAATAAAATTTGTAAAAATGTGTGTTTTAGAATGCCATTCCTGAGTTAGTGTGGAGGATGGATTAAGAAGAGGGCAAGTAGGAAGGTAGTGAGACTTGTTAGGAAGTTATTAAGGCACACTAAGGAAGAAAAACAAGGGCCTGCCTGAACTAAGATAACTGCAGTGGGGATAATGAGGAAAATATGGATTACAGAGATATTAAAAAGATGGAAGAGACAGGGCAAAATGAAGAAACTCTCAAATGTCTTCTAAATTTCTAATTTGAGCAAATAGATGGATGGCTGTGCTGTTCTGAGACAAATATAGTGAGGGACTGATAAGTTCAGCTTTGGACATACTCAGTTTGATACCTATGGGACAATGTGAAAATGATGAGAAGGCAGTTGACTATGGTTCTTGAAGTCAAGAGTGAGGTCTGGATTGGAGAAATCCAGATTTGACAGTAACCATCATATAGGGTAGTACTGTCCAACAGAACTAATAATATAAGCCACATATGTAATTCTAAAGTAAAAATAGATATTAATTTTACTTATTTAACTCAAAATAATCAAAATATTATTTCAACGTATTATCAATGTGATAATGTACATGCTAAGTCTTTAAAATATGATGTGTATTTTACACGTAAAGCACATCTGTTAATCTGAATGCCTTTTTTCATCACAAGTACTTGATTTATATATAAATTTCATAAAATTTACAGTTGAAAAGCAGATTCATATATCCAAATTGTTCCAAACAGTTAAGTTTTCCAAAAACCGAAAGAAAATAATTTTCCTTTATTATTTACATCCACATCGAAAAAATCCTGTTCATCCTTTTTAAAAAGAATTGGTTTACTTTCAAAGCAAAAGCGTATCAATTTGAAAAGATTGTATTTGTCTAAGTAAATCCAATAAATTTTGGGTCAGCTCAGTATTAACATAGAATTCCAAATTAATGAGTAAATTTAAAAGCAAATTAATAAAACATTTTTCATATAATTTTTATAGGAAATTTACATAACAATGTCAAATACAGTTAAAATCTTGTGCATGCCGAATCATATTAGAAAAATGTGTAAAATTATTATTTATTTTTTAAAGTTTCTATTTCAAAATAAATTCTAGTGCTTGTCTAAATAGGGCACAAAGCTTTCTCTTTTTCTTGGAGCTTCAAATTTAGGTCATTCATATGCCATATATTGGGGAGAAAACCACCATTTTTTTTATTATGATGTTATGTTAATCACCATACATTACATAATTAGTTTTTGATGTAGAGTTCCATGATTCATTGTTTGCGTATAACACCCAGTGCTCCATGCAGAACGTGCCCTCCTTAATACCCATCACCAGGTTAACCCATCCCCCCGCCCCCCTCCCCTCTAGAACCCTCAGTTTGTTTTTCAGTCCATAGTCTCTCATGGTTCGTCTCCATTTTTTTTTTTAAAGTAAGCTCTACACCTAATATGGGTCAAACCCACAACTCCGAGATCAAGAGTCACATGCTCCACCAACTGAGCCAGCCATGGGCCCCCACCATTTTCTCCTTGATTATTAAATATTTGGCTAGCATTTCTGTTGCTGCAAGAAAATCTTGAACTAGTGTTTGCAGTAAGTTTTTTAGAATTCTTCCACAGTTCAACCAACTAGCAAAGTATGTAAGGGATTAAGAAGAGGGCAAGTAGGAAGGTAGTGAGACTTGTTAGGAAGTTATTAAGGTACACTAAGGAAGAAAAACAAGGGCCTGCCTGAACTAAG